TGTGTAGATTCCTGGAGCGGGTTTCAATAGTCAGACAGATCCATAAGTTTATCATTTTTTCTTTTGTAAATTCACCAAAATAACCCATCAAAAAGTGCCCATTAAACCGTTACCAGAGGCACCAAATAAGAGAACTGTACCTTTTGGAAGCTGTTTTTAGATTTACCACCAATGAAAAAATGCATAATTAATTGCATGCAAGTTTTCATTGGGGTATATCTGCTAAACACTTATTTTATTTATTTTGTGTTTGGGCTGTGGAGTGTAACTTTAAGCAGCCTGCAACATAGCTAGGAGCAAGAATTGAGCTAATAGCTTTATTCCTGAAAACCTTAAATAAAGCTTTTTTGTAAATAAATTAAATCTGTACATTGTATGTCACATAAGGAACTAATTTGTAGAGAAACGTGTTGGTATCTCTGGGAAAGTGGATGACTTTCTGATGGATTCATTTGGTGAATTAACAAAAGGAAAAAAATTGATAAAAATTGAATTTTTCACTTATGGATCTGTCTGACTATTGAAGCCCACTTCAGTAATCTACACAGAACAGAACATGGCTGCATGCTAGAACATAACATAAAATACAATAAATCTGTCATTTTCAACCACCCAGTCACATGTCTACCTATGGGTACACTAACCCATCTGTCACATCATATCCACCATCCACATCCCTGTTCTAATAACCCTATGTATTATAGCATAAGCATGTTCTCTTCTACCTCGTTATGTAAAATGGGCAGTGGCGTTTCCCTTTAATGACCATGAAGAAGAATTGTTTGTACCTTGATACTCTCAAGACATCTCTTCTGTAGAGGCAGCAACATATAATGGAGTATCCTTCAGCTTTAAACAATGCAGGAATTTATAAGAATGTTACCAAAGTCATAGATAAGAAATATCATATATGTTTTTAACTTTCTCAAAAAGAGCAGATTTAAATGAAAAATTGCACTTTCATTTATGAATCTGGTTACACCCATTTAGCTTTCAGGCAGACAACAGGTCCTGTTAAAATATAATAAGCTTTGCTATTTAAATGTTTTGGTTTTTTTTTTTGTTTTTTTTAAATTATGATCGCTAGTAATGGATGTTATAATATTCAAACTTGGCATAAAACCCTCTGTCACTGTAATTAAGATGACATTACAAAGCTACAGAATATAGTGGAAGGAATGCAAATTAAGGGTAAAATTAAAAGGTTTTAATTTAAACTGAACTGTAAAGCTTGCACTCATGGAAAAGTTGTTCAAAGTAAAAGAAAAGAGCTGATGTGAGAGCCACAGCAGGGTTAGAACTGATGCATACTGATTTAGCAGGCTCCATAGAACCACAAGCTAGGTAAGGTTACTGATATGCCACGGCATTCACTGATGATTACTCTTGAGCAGTGTTTATGTACTTCCTGAAAATAAGAGTGATGCAGTGTTAGCTGCTGAAAAGTTCATTGCCCACACAGCCTCATATGGAAACATTACATTTAAGTGATCTGACAATGGTAGTTCATGGCTGAATGTTTTTGGTCACTACTGAACAAGCAAGGCATTAGACATTAAACCTCAGCACCTTATTCGCTCCATCGAAATGGAAGTGCCGAGAGAAATTGGAGAGCACTATGTGAAATGGAAAGATGTCTGCTGATCAAAAGTATATTGCCAAAGTAGTTATGAACATAAGCAGTAATGACTGCTACTTGGCTCTGAAACAGGTTCTTTAAAAATGTTTCTCTCATGGTGTATTATATGGATAAAAACAAATTAAAAATATAGTGTTCACTGTTATAAGGTAGAATTGATAAAAGTAAAGGAGAGGTACTCACACTTGTGAAGCAAAAGTAGGTTTTGCTCAGGTGGTATGTCTCCCACCAAAAGGATACGTATTCAGACTCCAAAGACACAGTCCGCGTAACCCAGAGGCAAAAAATTACAAAAAAGAAAACTAGTTTATTAAAGAAATTGTTATTTTAAAAACTAAACAAATTGTAACAAAAGCAATATAATAGATATAAAACACTGAAACATTTAACCATAGGGTTTTTTTTCAGCACTTCATAGAGGCTTACTACTTGCATTCACTACTGAATCAAAAAGAACACACTAGAAGATGCTGCCTATCCCTAGTGGGGATTGCACCACCGTTGCACATGAAAGTAGAGCTAAGTGCATTTCTTTATTTCTTTATTAAGTTGCACTAGAAATACTACACTATATTTTGCCATATTCTTCCTTTTGTTTTACATATTTACCTATGTCTGAGAATTCCCTAAAGGTGCTATACCCTCTCTCACACACTCTTAACTGGACTGGAATAGAGAGACTCTGGTTTGGGTTGCATGAGCTGCCGTCTATATTGAGCTGCTGTCTATATTCAACTGCCGTCTATATTCAACTGCATGCACTAGAAACCTGTATATTTTAAACTTGGATAGGTTAGATTAAAGCTCTGCGTGGAGGGTTATTATAAATACCTTGACACATTTTTAAAGTGCCCTGTGGCATCTTAGACTTGCAACTGAAGTCTATCTCTAACGATACAAGAATTGCAAATTGATGTAAGGACTTTATTTCCCTTTGCTATACCAGATGGATACAAGATATGTCTTCTTTGATTTTCTTTCTTTATTTGTTTTTTTTTGTTCATTTGTTTGATTTACATGTAAGCAGTAAAATTATTTGAAATAATATATGAATTGTATAACTACATAACCAGTAACATGACTTGACAAGTAAATACTGTTGTTAAATGTTGATAGTGAGGCAATCATTTTTCTAGTGCCATAAGCTGTGTTAATGCACTGTTTTGCAATTTTATGTTCACCATAAGCATCATTATACTTATACTTACACTACTTATCAAAAGATGAACTTACAATGATAAGTAGTAAAATACGGAAATAAAAAGCAGTCTAGATAAAACAGTTAATTACAGAAAATGCAGTGACACTTTAACACTTTCCTTAGTTTAACATCTACAAAAAGACCAAATTGACATAAAGGACAGAGAAGTCACAGAGATTTCTAACTTTGATAAAATTAGAATTGTTTATTACACCAAAAACAATTTGATTCTTTATCAGTTAAGAAGATAAGAAAGCTTTGTAAATATTGTAGTTGTTTATTGATTGTGCACATTTCTAAACCTTATCTAAATTTGAAAATTGATTTTATGTTTTCTAAAATACAGTAATTGTCTGAAACTTGAAAGTCTAAAATAGACACAGATGTAAGATATGGCTAAATCTGAAATTAATATTGAGTTACAAATCTGTACTAAGAATGGTTTTTAATGATAGTTGAAATGGGCTTTACAGAATATTCATATGCATAGCTTTTTTTTTATTTTTTGCTAAAATTGTAAACATTGAGATACAGCATAGATTATAACAAAGTAAATTATTCACTCAAAATAAAAGAAAAACACTGTAACACAAATGTGCATATACATTTTACTTAACTGGGCACTGTAGTCACTAGAACTATTTAATCTTATTGAATTGGTTATTGAGCCTGACACTGTGCCCCCATTCCATGTTAAACCATGTTTGAACAGTTTAACATTAATTGAGGGATTATGCCTTGCCACCCACATTCCGGCCCCTTCTGGACGTGTGGCGAAGGCAGACATTACACACTTCCTTGTTGTCATACCCATTCATACTGTCAGTTACAGTTGCCCATTGCTACCCAGGCTAATACTTCCTCATTAGCCAAAGCATCAAAAAGGAGATGAACTGCCAAGGACTCTTGTTTGGCATTAAAACATAAAAATCTTAAAAATTGTTTAATGCTGAATAAAAATGACGGAACCAGGGACTCCAGGCACTTTAACCAGTTTATGAAATAATTCAGATACAGTACTAAAGTCCCTTTAATCTTCCACTTGCATGTGGTTATGACATTATTTTTTTACAACATCATAGCAGTCACTTTGATAATATACAGTTTGCCTTCAGTTTACCTAATTTTAGTCCCTTTACTCAACTACAAAAAGGGCTACTATTATTATCCTATGTCTTATACATTGAGGCATTTATTGATTAATACATTCTATATTCACAAAATATACAATTAAATAATCTAGATTGTTACATTAAGTGTGATCCCAAAATATGTCTGAGAACGTACCTGTAAATGTGGTTAGATGTGATGGGATGTGTTTCAGGTATGTGCCTGTGATGTGTTTATATATAAACAATAAAATAAAAGGGACAGGGAAAAATAAGAACTAAAAATTCATAAAGAATGCATTCTAGATTTTTAACTGGACCCTAGTAGATTGAAAATACAGCAAAATCTGTCAGTGTTATTACTAAGCACAACATTTTGTACGGATGGAAACCAACCAATCAGAATGCTCGATCTGATACTGCATAGCTTAGGAAAGTTTCCCACACTATGCAATATCAGTCAAAGAGCCAACCAATCATAGGGCACTAAAATACATAAAGCCTTCTACCACTTTGAAGCCTAATTCTGGCCTGGGCGGGGTGCTTAACCCCAAAAGGAATCTGGTCTGAATTTCTCTGTACACTGCTTTGCTCCGTTCTGATGTTTGGCCATGGCTTCTGGTATCCAGTACTCTTTTTACAATTCTTGTTTAGTTTTTCTTGGTTTTCCTGGTTTTCTATTCTGTCTGGTTTTCTTTATGCTGGGTTTTCTGGGTTCATTCCCATATTCCGTTCCTGTAATTCCCAGTCTCTTGGATTCCTTTAAATGTTTGTTTTATGTTGCCACACCCTTTCATTTTCCATTTATCCTTTTGTTTCAGTTGTTTCCTGCAGGCAGTTGCTACAAATCCTCTGCCCCTTTCTTGCAGGTAAGTGCTGTGTGTGTGTTTTATTATTGTTTATTTGGTCATGCATATCTAGTTAGATAGGACCCACCGTAATTTGGAGTACTTTGGTGCAGTGGTGGGCTGCATACATCTTGGCCATTTATGTATGTCTAACTCTCCAATGTTTTACATATACAGTACTTAGTTTTGTCTCCTCTTGTTTTGCCTTATATATCTTGTCTTGTTTTATTTTGTATTCCAAGTCCATGTACAGTCCTGTCCTGTCTTGCCCATGTTCTGTTAATGTTTCCCTTTTGTATTGTGTACATGTTCTGGGTTTTGCTTTCTATCCTTCTCTGGTTCTGGGTTCTACTAGTTTTGTCTTGTTTTCTTGTTTGGTGCCTATTCCAGTCTTACCTTGTGTCTAGTACTGGATACATCTCAGCATTCATCTGCTCCTCGCATCCATAATAGCTGCAACAGGGTCTTGGTAAGTGGCCGCACAAAAGCTGGTGCTCAACACCAGGGGGCGTGCGGTTACCCTGCACCAGGCCCTACTTATCCACTACCACGCTGAAGACTCATCATCAACTACGTCAGGCACAGGGGTCCCGGTCTTTGGACCACCACCTGTGACAGATTATATATTGTGGGATTATGCTTTTTTTATTTGCCCTTTTCTTATACTGAATATAAGATGATTTACAAGAAAGAAGATTTCATGTGGTAAGTATAATTGTTTTTTCTACATGTATTAGTTTTTAGTTTTTTTTTAAATTTTTGTTTTATTGAGTTTTCAATGTAACAGCGTGGGGGTACATAAGGAAAGAGGGGGTAGGGTACAAGAAGGTACACATATATCACAATTGTTCATTAGACAGCTACATTGGTTTTTCCATCATTTACAAACATGTTGAGGTTTCTCATTATTCAATGTCTGCACAGTTGCACAGTGTTATACATTTTTGTACAGGTTTGCCCTCCTCCTAGCTCCATCTTATACTTTATGTGCAGGTATTTGATCCTGCGGTTGTGCAGAGTTTTCTATTCATACAAAGGATGACATTTGGCTATGGTGGGTGTTTGTTTTTTGTTGTGTAGTCGCACCATCTTTGCCAATTATTATGGGTGATGTCCCTATGTTTGGGTGTGGTTGTGGTCAGCTTTTCGTATTGCAGGTATTGTTGTAGGTTGTGATACAGAAGTGTTGGTGTTGGACATACCTTTTGTTTCCAATGACACACTATGAGATTGTGTGCCGCTAATACCACCAGTACTATTAATTGTTTATCATACAGGGGGGTTTGGGTCGGCATTAATAGAAAAATGCTGATTTCAGGTGTGAGTGCCCCTTTTACAATTTCCATTTAGTTACCTAGCCGTTGGACTTCTGTCCATAGTGGGGTTATAATTGGGCATTCCAACCATATATGACTCATGGTACCTTTAGCTTTGCTCCACCTCCAGCAGGTGTTTGGGGATGTCGGGTTTATTCTACTTAATTTGTCTGGGGTGAGGTACCATCGGTATATTAGCTTTTTATGTGCCTCTACGTGTGTATAACATGATGTGACGCCTTGTAATGCCCCAAGTGATTTTAACCATTGGTCGTCTGTAATAGTTGAGTGACCTTCTTTGCTTCATTGGGTTTTAAAAGTGAATTCTAGTGGTGGTGGGTGACACCTCATAGCAGCATATCCTAGGGATAGGGCTTTAGCTTTAACTGGTGCTTTCTGGCATGTATTGTATATTGTGACTATGTCTGGATTGAGTTTGAGTTTGAGTTTGTACCATTTCTGCAATAATACTTTTGAGTTGGAGATATGGGAATATGTAGTTTGATGGTAAGGTATATTTAAGTTGCAGTTCAGGGAAGGGCATTATATTCCCCTGTGTACAGATATCATGAATGTGTGTGATGCCCCTTTCCCTCCATTTGTGTAGAGATAACCACGGGGATATAGAGTTCAGTGTAGTTATGGGCGCCCATGGTGAAAATGTAGTGGTACTTGTGTGCCGTTTCTGGAGGAGGTCCCATATCTGGATTGTAAGCTTGGATGTGGGACGTAGTGGGGTATTTTTTTCCCTGAGGTGTTTAGGTGTCCACATGCGATCTACTACTGAGTTGTTTGAATAGTATTCGTTTTCCATGTCCACCCATTGTAATGTCAGTTTGGGAGCATGTAGTTTGATTGCTGTTTCTAATATTGCAGCTTTGTGATATTGCATGATATTAGGGAGACCTGTCCCTCCCCTATTCACCGGTGTTTGGAGAAGTGTACTTGGGAGGTGGGGCTTCTTGTTTTCCCATACATAGGTAGTTATAAAGTTTTGAATTTGCTTGCCCAGTGTAATGGATAGGGGAAGAGGGAGCATTCTAAACACATATAGGAGTTTGGGCAGGATCACCATTTTTATAGCGTTAATCCTCCCAAGCCACGTCAGTAACACGTCTTTCCATTTGTGCAATAGTTGTTTGCACAGTTGTGGCAGCGGTGAGTACTTGAATGTGCTAATACCTCTGATTGTAGTTGCTATTTTCACCCCCAGGTATGTTATATGGGCATTCCTCCAATCAAAGGTATGCGTATCTTTTAGTGATTGGACTGTTGTTGTTGTTAGTCTGATTGGTAGTGCTTGGGTTTTTAGTTGAATAAGTTTATAATATGATATCTTGCTATATTCGTTAAGGACTTCTAGGAGACATGGTATTGATTTTTCTGGGTTTGATAAGGTTATGAAAATATCATCTGCAAACATAGCTAATTTGAAGTCGGTGACCCCTATCTGTATTCCCTTGATGTCTGCATGGTGTCTGATCATATGTGCTAATGGTTCGAGGGAGAGTACAAATAATAAGGGTGAGAGTGGGCAGCCTTGCCATGTACCATTCGTAATAGAAAATGGACTCGATATGAAGCCTGCATTAGTGACTCTGGCTGAGGGTTGTGTATACAGGGCCTTGACTCCTTTAATGAAAGCTGTTAGAAACCCAAATTTAACCTGTTCCATGTAGTGCCAATTTAGTCTGTCGAAGGCCTTCCCCGCATCCAGCGCTAAGAGAAGACCTTCCATTTGGTGGGATTCCATATGAGCTACAACATTAAGTATCTTTCTGGTATTATCTGACCCTTGTCTCTGTTTGGTAAAACCTTATTGATCATTATGTACTATGCGCATCAGTATCTCTTTTAATCTCTCTGCCAATATTTTGGCATAAATCTTTGTATCGCAGTTCAGTAGCGATATGGGTCTAAAGTTTTGGCACATGTCTGCAGATTTGCCTGGTTTCGGCAGTGTAGATATATGTGCTTGTAGCATCTCATTTGGCATGTTACCCGTGGAGAAGCATTGGTTAATATTGCTGTTATTTACCGTCCCCCTGGTTCCCCTCTTCTCTTCCTTGACCACTTTGCTGCCTGGCTACCCTATTTCCTCTCTTCTAACATTCCATCCCTAATTCTCAGGGACTTCAATATTCCTATAAACCCACCTTTGACCTCTGCAGCCAATAAACTACTTTCAATTACTTCCTCCTTCGGGCTATCACAGTGGGCAAATTCTCCCACCCATATAGCTGGCAATACCCTTGACCTAATCTTCACTTATGCATGTACTGTCTCTAATATCTGCAACACTCCGTATCCACTGTCTGATCACCACCTCTTATCGTTTGCTCTCACGTACCCCCTCACCCAACAACCTCCGCCTAACCAGCCTCAACTCAGGAGGGACCTTAATTCTCTTGATCTCCAACAGTTGTCAGCTGACATTGATTCACAACTGCTGTCCATCCCTTCCCTCTCCTATCCTTCACTGGCCTTCTCCATATATAACTACTCTTACATCTGCCTTGAACACTGCAGCGCCACTCCAAACAAGCACCTCAAGGAGGACCCGCCCCCAACCATGGCATACTAAATCAAGGCGCTACCTGCAAAGATACTTCCGTTGTGCTGAACGCTCTTGGAGGAAGTCTCGCACCCAGTCAGACTTTCTCAATTATAGATTCATATTGTGTTCATACAGTGCAGCCCTTGCCCTTGCCAAACAGTCCTATTTTTCCTCTCTCATTAGTTCATGTTCCCGCAACCCCAGGCATCTCTTTGACACCTTTAATTCTCTTCTTTGCCCCGCTGTGGCCACCCCCCAAACCAGCCTTACTGCTGATAACTTTGCATGTTACTTCACTGACAAAATTGAACAGATAAGGAAAGAATTCTCCACTCCTTGCCTTTCTGTTTCTCAATCACACATAGATCATGCCTTTCCTACCCTTCAGACATTCTCCCCAGCCACTGACCAAGAGGTGGCTGCTCTTCTTTGCTCCTCTCGCCCCACCACTTGCCCACTCGATCCTGTCCCATCTCACCTTATCAGATCTCTCTCCACTTGTCTCGTGCCTTCTCTAACACACATCTTCAACTGCTCGCTCTCTTCTGGCATCGTCCCTGCTGACCTTAAACATGCCACTGTAGCACCTATACTAAAAAAACCATCCCTCGACCCGTCCACCACCTCTAACTACCGTCCCATATCCCTGCTCCCTTTTTCCTCAAAGCTTCTGGAAAGACTTGTCTTTACCCGTGTGTCTCATTTCCTCAATTCCAACTCTCTCCTTGACCCCCTTCAATCTGGCTTCCGCCCTCTCCACTCTACAGAGACTGCCCTTATCAAAGTTACTAATGACCTAATCGCAGCTAAATCCAAAGGCCACTACTCCATACTAATTCTTCTTGACCTCTCAGCGGCCTTTGACACCGTTGATCATGCTCTCCTTCTTCAAACTCTGCAATTGCTTGGCCTCTGTGACTCTGTCCTCTCATGGTTTTCCTCTTATCTCTCCCAACGCTCATTCAGTGTCTCTTTTTCTAATGATACCTCCTCCCCTCGTCCTGTCTCGGTTGGAGTCCCCCAAGGCTCCGTCCTTGGTCCCCTTCTATTTTCTCTTTATACTGCCTCTCTTGGCAAACTTATTACCTCATTTGGATTCCACTACCACCTGTACGCTGATGACACCCAGCTATATCTCTCCTCCCCAGACCTCTCCCCTGCTGTCCTGCAACGTGTCACTGCTTGCCTTTCTTCCATCTCTGACTGGATGTCCTTCCGCTTTCTGAAACTCAATCTCTCAAAAACTGAGCTCCTTGTCTTTCCTCTTCCTAATACTGATCCTCCTCTTTGCTCTCCCTTCAAGTTTGTGGTACCAACATCAGCCCATCCTTGCAAGCGCGCTGTCTTGGCGTCATAATTGACTCTGGTCTCACCTTTGAGCCTCACATCCAGCATGTTGCCCAATCCTGTAGATTCCATCTTAAAAACATAGCCCGCATCCGCCCCTTTCTTGCACCAGATACTACCAAGGAGCTTGTCCATGCTCTAGTAATTTCCCGCATGGATTATTGTAACCCTCTCCTGCTTGGTCTTCCCAAAAGCCGTACTGCACC